CCTTCCTGCTACGGGCCCTGCGCATCGCCGTGGTGGTGTGTCTCTACTGGTTCACCTCCATCGCCATGGTCTTCCTCAACAAGTACCTGCTGGACAGCCCCTCGCTGCGCCTCGATGCCCCCGTCTTCGTCACCTTCTTCCAGTGCGCCCTGACGGCCGCTCTGTGCCTGGGCCTGAGCCTGGGGGCGGCCTGCGGGCCCCCCTGCCCCGGCCTGCCCGCTCTCCGCCTCGACCCCAAGGTATCCCGCAGCGTCCTGCCCCTCTCTGCCGTCTTCATCGGCATGGTCACCTCCAACAACCTCTGCCTCAAGCACGTCGGTGTGGCCTTCTACAATGTGGGGCGCTCCCTCACCACTGTCTTCAATGTGCTGCTCTCTTACCTGCTCCTCAAGCAGACCACCTCCATCTACGCCCTCCTGGCCTGCGGAGTCATCATAGGTGAGGGGGAGCGGGAGGGGGCTGCACCCACCCCACAGCCGGCCTCGGAGAGACAAAGGTGGTGTATCTTCCCCTGGGGAGCCACCCCTGCCTACACGGTGGCTCCATGGTGAGGTGGGGTAGCTCACGGCCTTGCTCTGCCTCTGGCAACGTGCTTCACATGTCTGGAGCATGTAGGTAACTCATTAAGAAAGGAAATTACTTTTACTTGACCATGGCTCCCTTTTTCCTTTGAGCACTAAAACATATCTGCTCTTTAATGAAGTTTAACTTGCTATACCTTTATATTTTTTTTCCCCATAAAAGAGCAGATGGCTTTCTCCCCATTGTCCAGTGCTTGTTGATTATTAACTTTGGTGTCGCTAACAGTATTTATGTCAGAACCATACAATGGAGCCAGCCAATTCAGGGAGGCTGAATGCATGTGATGAAGGGTTAGCTGATCAAGCCAAGTATAAAACACTACCAGAAGATCCGGTTGTGTGGTTAGTATGTAGGGCAGGGCATTGACTGGATTAACGGGAGTTGCTTACAAGCCTTTCATTCCAAAGGCTTTGGTAGTGCCAAAAGCTGCCTTCCACTAGAGGGACATTTAGATGCTAAGAGTGATGAAACGTTGACTTCAGTACAGTTCCAGGTCAACATGGGTTTGCTTTGGTGTTTCCACAAGCAGACGGACTCAGATGAAGATGAGACAAGAGGATCTCCTCTCTGTAGAAAGGCAAACAGGAACAGAACTACTGTTTTTTCCACCCAAATGGTGCAAGCAATTGCCTTTGGCTGGTCTTGAGTTCAGGTATTGCCCAGGATTATGCTGTCTGCCAGCCTTACAGGGTTTTTCTAAGACTCTGTGCCCCTGGCTCCCGTCTCCTCTTGCTGTAAGAGTATTGCCCATATGCCTATAGCAGCATAGCTGAGCATCTGCTATGGCCTGATGCCAAGCCCTTCCTGTCTGTGCATTGAACCCATTCGTATTTGGGCTTAGCTTAAAGCACGTTAGCTGCTCTGCAGGTAACTTCCCAGATGGCCTCCAACATGAAGCAGCTGATGGAGGGGCAGTGTGGTGCTCCTTCAGTAGCTCATCTCCCCTTTTATGTTTTGCTTATAAGCTGGACGGGGAGAGGTCTCCCTCTGTGCCCTTGAAATGCAAAGCCTGTAGCTCCTGTTTTGAAGGTGGTTAAAGCGTGCGTTACCCATCAAAGTTTTAACGTGTTCGAGATGCTATGCTGAGTTTTCTGCCTTGTGATCTTTTTTTGATCAGGCTTCTTAATATTACATTCATGTGTTTACTATCTTCCCTCTTCTTTTCTGACCTGTTTTTCCCTTCCTATTAACAGCAGAGCAAAGCCTGTGAGGCCTTTTTTTTTTTTTCTTTAAACCTTGAGAATATTTCTTGCTATCAGTGTGTCAATTTGTTGTCATATGATCTCCTGAAAATTGACCTATACACAGAGTTGCTTTAACTGTAGTTCATGGCTCTTTGGAATAATAGTTTCTAAACTCATGCTGCCTGCTCAGTGCAGGATTCAGTCCTCTGGGACTGAATGCTAGCACAGTAAATTACCTGCACTCCCAAAATAAATCTTCCTGGGACACCAGTCGTGACACTTTGTGGGTTCGCTTGATAGAAAGAGGAAGCCCTTAAGCCTGTCTCTGCTTGTGGTTGTGGTTGTTCAGTATAAGTTAGATGATGAATTGCTGACTGTATGTTTGAGTCCTTCAGCAGTTGTTCCAATGATGCCTGATTTGTTTTGTTGCAGGTGGCTTCTGGTTGGGTGTTGACCAGGAAGGAGCAGAGGGCACTCTGTCATGGACGGGTATATTCTTTGGGATCTTAGCAAGCCTGTGTGTCTCACTTAATGCCATCTATACCAAGAAGGTGCTGCCTGTGGTGGATGGCAGCATCTGGCGCCTGACCTTCTACAACAACATCAATGCTTGTGTCCTCTTCTTCCCCCTCATGATGCTGCTGGGCGAGTTCCACACCCTCTACAACTTTGACAAGCTGGGGAACCCCAGTTTTTGGGGCATGATGACCCTGGGGGGAGTGTTTGGCTTTGCCATTGGGTACGTGACCGGACTTCAGATTAAGTTCACTAGCCCACTCACCCACAATGTGTCTGGGACAGCCAAGGCCTGTGCCCAGACGGTGCTGGCTGTTATCTACTTTGAGGAGACAAAGAGCTTCTTGTGGTGGACAAGTAACTTGATGGTTCTGGGGGGCTCCTTTGCCTACACATGGGTGAAAGGGCTGGAGATGAGAAAGGTGCAAGAGGATCCTAATGTGAAAAGCAGCGAAAGAAATGAGACTGGTGTGTAGACAGCTCCTGCACCTCTGTTTCTGTGCCTAGGGGGTTAACCTTTGGCACTCCTTTCCTCCTGGAGCGAAGAAGAGCAAGGAGCAGGAAAAAAATTCACCTGTGGAGTGTATAGGGAACTGTGTCAGGAACCAGAGCCAAAGACCTGACTGGATCATGTTTTATCCATGGGATACTTACCCTGTATCGGAGTTAGGGAGAGCATGTGTTGTAGAGAGCAACCGGGTTTTTTGTGATTGTTTTTTAAAATGGATGTTGCTATTGACCTAACCTGGGCAGTTTGCATCTCTGGGGAGTGGGCTCAGAGTGGATGAAGACTGGGATGGGAGCTTTATGTAGTTAGTGATCTAGAATTAACTGAATGAATGCAGTCTGAAGTTACAAAACTCTGAACTTCTGTGTAAGGAACAGGCGGGTAGCCAGGCTGTTGGGGATAGACTCCAGTAAACTGTTCTGCTGTAAAAGGATTGGCAAGAGCCGTTCTTCCTGTTGCCCCATTCAGTGCAAAGGATGGGAAATTCCCTCCATTCTGGTTCTGTACAAGCCTAAGCAGCAACAGTGCCTCCAAATCTCCTTTCAAAAGAGTCAATATCGCACCCTACTGAGGTCTTTTCTGTGTTTCTCTCCACCTGGTTTCTTAAATCAGGAAATCATGCTAAGAATCAGCAGTGAGAGCATGCTCTCAAGTGGACTTTCTCAGGGAGGAATGAGCTCTGGCTTCTGCCTTTCTTAGTAACAGGCAGGAAGGGAAAAGTTACTCTGAAGCACTTGAACTGGGATCTCCATGTTACAGAAGCATGGGGTTTGCAACACCTGTCCTCTTTACCGTCTGTGTAGGGGTGGGTTTGTGTTTGGAAACGGGGTTGTTAACTAATCAGGCTTGTTTCAGGGGGCTTGTTCCATACCTACTTTGGATCTCCTCTGGTGTTTGCAGTTTGTCTTTTGACTTGTTCCTTTTAAACACCCCTTATTGCCAGCTCAGTGAGTCCTTCAACCCAAAAAATTCTAGTTTTGCTCAGCTGCATCAATCCCTTTACTTGAAACTTGCCACTGAACAGTTAGTTCTGTGGAAATCTCTGCACCTCCCCATCTGGTCCTGTTGAAGTGCCACCTGAGGTTACTCTGTGCTGCAGTTTCTGATCCCAGGGGTCAGCAGCAATGTCACTTAGTCAGCTGTGATGTTGCACCAGCTTTCTAAACCCCCTGGCCCCTCTAAAGGGATATTTGGATCCTGAGCAGATGAGGCATCTGCTTCATACCCTGCTCGGTGGAGCCTACAGGATGGACCATGTCCTCTGCGTGATCTCTCCCTGCCTCTACAGGACACTCCATTTCTGTCCAGAATATGTTCCTATCTAATCGGGGGGGGGCGGCGGGAGGGGCTCCTGCTTCAGCCTTCATGACCACAGGCACCTTCTCACTCCTTTTTTCAGTGCAGGATGATTTGAGGTCCTTTAATTTTTTATTTTTTTTTTTTTTTTATCCTATGGGAATGGATATTTTTAATGTTGCACGTACTGACTTGTAACGGCCAATAAATAAAGTCGGGGG